AAAAACTAATATGAAGATATTTTAATTGTAAACACAAATATTAATAATAACAACAACGTATCTTTAGGCAATGGACACCATATCTTTGCGTGGTGAGATGAACTTGGCAATTGCATATCGTAATTTGTATGTCCTTTTAGCATGTTTCTCTTACCTCTCCTAATAAATTGAAGCCATTTCAAGGAAGTTTTTTAATGGCGTTGATAATGAAAACTATTTTAATTAAAGAAAACAAAAAATATATAAAAATTATTGTGTGTACTCGACAAACCCTTAACCTAACACTCAAGGGGATATGTGTTACCATAGTTTTCGATACTGTTAGAGTCATTAAATTTTATTTTTTTATACATTATAACTAGTTTTCGTACCGATATATTGATTCACAAACAACATTGCTGAATGAAAAATCAATCATAATTAATACTATCACTCTATATATATATATATATATATAAACATTGCATCACTATTATTTCCTGAAATTTTAGTCTATAATTAAAAATTAAATCGTTTGAGGCTGTATAATGCTTATCTCCACGACTCCACCCCGGCCCAGGAAATTGCCATGTGCTCTTGATGATTAAATGATTATTTCTTTAAGAAATGACTTAATTATTAAAATAAAGAATAAGGTTGCATCTGGTTTGGTTTATAATGAAAGTTTATAGTTGTTTTTCTTTAAATGGTTGATTATGGAGTTTTTGAAAAGGTGTTTTTTATAAACTGATTTTGAACAATTGAGTAATATATATTAATTATTAGACGCTATATCAATTTTTAACTATTAATTCACTATTAAAATTATCAATTATTTTTAATAGTTCTACCAAATAAATCTATTTGTTAGTCTAGCCACTCGGGTTAGAAAACCTCATCCTCTTAAGAGAATCAATTGAGAAATATATAATAAATGGACCATGATTGGTGCACACCCGGATCCCACACCCGGATCCCACACCCAGGTCCACCCAGGTGTGCACCCATCATTTTCCATAATAAATACTAATGTGTCATTTTAACTTATGAAAATGTAGGGCAAATTACCCATAAATTAGTGGTCTATAGTTGTTTTAAGTAAAGCAACCAAGAAATCAGTTCTCATTTCTCCAAGGGAGAAAACGAATGATTTTAATTAATCAATTTTTATTTGGCATTTACACGCATTTACGAAACTATAAATAGTTTCTCTAACTACCACACATCGATCCACAGCCACACAGCCACACAGATAGATATATATATATATATGTGAGAGATATAAAAAAAAGATATATATATATATATAAATAGATTATAGCTCAATTTATATTATTAGAATTATGACATTGATTTCTACATAAAATGGTATTATTATATCAATGTTTTCGCCAAAAAAAATATATAATAACAATTTAATCCTTACTATTTTTTGTCCCACTTCAATTCCTTTGAAGTTTCAATAACGCAATATATATTGCATTCGACTCATAGACTGAAGTTCCAATCATGGCATTTACTATTATCTTTTTGGTAGAATAGAAGTTGATGTTATAAAAGTTTGAATTTCTTAAGCTTTGGTTTCACATTAAGAGTGTGTTTACTGTTTAGTAGAACTACACTTTTATGTTGATTTGAAAATAAACATACCTTTGTTTTTATCCAGAGTTTAAAATCTTATTAGAAGAAAATTTAAACTATTTATTTCTCATTTACCAAAAAATTTATTTATTTCTCACTTACTTTGTGAAAACTTTCTTAATTTTTAGCTTAGATGACTTTAGTTTTGATGTCTGGTTTAATTATTACGAACAGCTTAGTCAGAAATGAATATTCAATAATCACATTTGCTGTTAGTTTGTAATATAAATAGTGTCAACCTATAGATATTATTTATTAATTATAAATTATTTAAAATAGTTAAACAAAATTGAGAGTCTATAAAAGTAGTAAAATTTGATGTCTTCACTTTTATTTTTTTTTAAAAGATATATATAATTTTCTTTTCAATTTAACTAAAAATTTATGATAAATCTGAATTATTTATAATAAAAAGATAAATAATTAAAATTTTATTTAGATAAGTTATATTTATAAAATTAAGTTGCGTGTAAGTACTCAATCTTAACTCATTTTAGAATAATAACAAGTTAGTTTGGTGAATTGAGATAATAAATTAAAAATTTTAATAATAAACTTTTTATTTAAAAAATAAAAAATTTTAAATTCGAATAACATAATATGAAAATATGATAAAAAAGAATTTCCTCACATATGCAACCCAAAATCAATAAAAAAAAGTTTGGTGCAACACATCACATGGCCTAGGACTAAAAACAGAACTCTATCTAAATTTTGGACCCCTCTTTTCAGTCAAAAGCTAAACATAAAAGAATGTTGAAGAATCTATTTATTTCTGGGTCACCAAATTTTTGTGGCCGATGTGTTTCGTGCCATTAAAGGGGCCTAACAGCCAATGAGAAAAAAGAATTTGGAAGCACTTGCAAAATTATGTTCTCTCTGTGATTTCTAGCGAATCTTAGGCGCCCTTGATTTCATCAAAAGTTGATTTGCGTCTTCAACTTTCTATTTTTCACAATTGGAAACCCTAGCTTGGCACATTACAAAAGGTTCACGTCACCAATTTATAATAGGGTTTGTAAAGGGCAATTATTAAGTAATGATTGTGACTTTTTTCTCTTGAAAAATGTAAACTTTTGAAAAAATAGATAAGTTTTAAATTTTAATTTAAATAGACTAATAAAAATTAACATGTAACATCTATAGTTAAAATAAAAATATTAATAATTATTCAATAATTACTTTTAATAGGTACATCATTTATAATATTACTCACAATGTCATTCCACTAAGCTCTACTTGCCATTTTTTTCTATTAAAACATATCCACATTAATTAGGGATAAAAAGGAGTTAAAAAAAGGAAAAAAAGAAGAAAGATACAACTCAAAAAGCTTTTGCTTTTCTCACTAGAACGTGGGATGGTACAAACTTGTTCGTCCTTGGAGATATTCTTCTTTTGTCATTGCAAAGAGTCACTTTTTCACGGCATTTTCCCAAATATGAAAACATGATTAAAAACTTAAACAAAAAAATCTTGTATGCTTTATCCATTACATAAGAACAGGACATATTCATTTTTTAAACTCAACAATCTATCATTCTATAAGTATCATTCTATAAGTATATATGAATGAGAGGTTCACCATACTACTTATGTTTAAAATATATTAAGACAAAATTCTTGAATTCAATCGTCATCAACTGACAATTTTTAAAATAAATGTTAGGCATTCCTCCTCCCTCCTCCTTTTTTTTTTTTATGGGAAATGATATGCATAACCTAACCAACATCAGATGGGGCAGAACACGGTTTGATAAGAGGGGAGTGTTTCTAGTCAAAACTAGTGTGGAAATACATATTTCATTTTCACAAGAGCTTGGTCAAATTTAGTATTTATTAATTTAAAAATCTTAATTTGAAGTGAAAGTTCAAATTTCTATAATATTAAACAGTTAATGCTCTAATATGTACCAAGAAAAATATTTTACTTTTTTTTTTTTATTTTCCCTTACTATTGTAACATTGTTTATTTATCTCATTAAAAAACAAAAAAAAAAGTTTTTATAGGGCTGATTATATAATAAAAATACAATTCATTATATTAATTTATTAAAATACCCTTAATGAAATTATTTTTTTATACTATTTCATTAAGTATATTTTATTAAATTAATAGGATGACCTATATTTTTAATATACAATCTAAACAGTAAAATATAAATCCTTTTAAAAAAAGTTAAAAATGTAAAATAGCATGACTTTGTATTTTTTTAATCCAGACCTTATTTGTATCTATTTTACAATTGTTATAACCATTAAAATCTCAAAATAATATAATGAAAAAGACTTAAATCTCCTTAATAAATAACAATATATTTGAACAATTTTATATACAATCTTTTTATTTAAAATGTCAAACATCTTAATTTTTACTTCATTTGTTTATTTTGAATAGTATTACTTTGACTTTTTGGATATAAATTTTATATAAAAATTTAACAACTCATATGAATAATAATTGAAATTTTTTTTTTCATATATATAATTTTTGTTGAGTATTTTTATTTGATAAAAAAAATTTAATTATTATTTATATAATTTATTAAATTTTTATATAAAATTCATGTTTAAGAAGTAAAAAGTCAAATTAAAACTTCTAAAAATGAATAAAAGAGTATTATTTTTTCTATTTTACTTTTGTGTAAAATACTACTACTGTTTACTAAAGAAATCTTACTATTTTACTATATCATAAAACTTATTAAAATCTTAAATAAATCATTAATAAATATTAAATTTGATTATATTTTCAATAATAATATTTTTTTAATACAATCATACTTTAGTATGACTTTAACTACTTTAATTATATTTCAATATAAACTCAATTATAAATACTCAATTAGTATTTTAAAATCTTTAAAATTCCTTAAAAATTTCCGCTTAATATTTAATAAGTACTTAATAAATACCAATAAACATTTTAAAATCTTTAATAAACACCTAACTATAAATGATCCAATATTCCAATTCCAAATCATGGGAATCGAGGAACCAAGCATGAAGCATAAAAAAAAAAAA